ACGTGTCAGTTCCCTTTCTTTCGAAGGTAGCGGTTTGCCCCATTTAAATTGCTCCCAAATTTTAGTGGAAGTGTCATCTCCGTTTCTTTTCCAGACTTTTTTTAACGTTCTTCCATTCTGGGTGGGCGATGATCGGTTTTGATTAGGTTTATTAGATTTTTTGGTGATCGTCTGTTTTTTATCTGAGCTACTATCACCTATCAGAAGTGAGTTAACCAACCAAGGCAGTGGCATAGTTTTCTCGGTTTTCTCAATTAAAGCTCGAGCGTTTTCAAGTACTAATTCCGAATCTTCATCATCACCATACAATCGAAACTCCGGGTATATATCGCCGACTAGTTGAGGATTCTCCTTACCCAATAATTTATCGGCTCTCTCAAATATTTTCTGCTTTTCGTAACTGCTTAATTCTTTCGCTGGTTCTACATTAAAGTCCAGGTTAGTCCGTTCTAGAATCAGTGATAATCAGTAGCTGTGTTAGGTAATCTAAGGATATCCTACCATAGCTTAAATCAACGTTGTTTAGTGGAGCGTAATACTTATCCGCACCATTCGAAGACCCCTGGTGGACGGTTAAAAAATCCTGAACGTAATCGTCATGTTCATCCGGATCTAAATTCGGTGTGAGCCCCTGGGTGGAGGAGTGGGTAGAGCTTATGGGGAAAGTTATTGTAGGTACTATACGACTAGTATCCTCTTCCAGAAAGGTACGATTGAAGTCTATTTCTAAAATTAACCACTAAATACTGCCATCTTTTTCGATTATAAATTTTGGAAGATTTTACCTGTCTGAGTAGCATTTTTTATGGGAAACTTCTCGCTAATCTTCCCATAAAGCTGACGAACGCTTTCCAAATTGGAGACACCACCACCGTTTCTCCATCTAGGATTGCGCCGATAATTTAAATAAGGTATATCATAGATATTACTCCTGTGCCTGATATCATTCACATGAAATTTTGTTTGCCCACTCCTAAAAAACGGCCTCTCTTGTCCAAGGATTTGAGGCGACCTCTAATCTTGCTCAAAGCTTTAACTTCCTCATCATAATTATTACCATTGTTAAAGCCAATCATTTTCGAAGAAATCTGCCTTTTGTGTTTTTTGGGACTTTCCACACTATTCAAAATGCCTTGGATTTCATCCACCAGCTTCAAATCCGCTTGAAGTCTAACTAATTTATCTTGGACGTTATTTCGCATCGATGGCAAAGGTGTATCTCCAACCGTGCTCGTCATTATCACTTGTGAAGTTGTTATGTTAATGGTTGATGGCGCGGATGAGTTTTCTATCTTAACTGTACAATCTATTCTTCCCGCAACGTTGGAACCTAAAGCCTCCTGCTTGATGTGATGCAAGATGTCCATCATTTTATTGGTTTCTTCTTCGCACTCTGATTTTGGGTTCACCGGTTTTCCTAAAAGGCTATTCAAGTCAATCTGTTGGAGCAAATTTTCGGCACTGATTTCAACGCTGTCGCTAACAGCGTACCGTTTCCGTTGTCTTGAACGTTTAGGAAAAATTAGAACCCCGGGTATTAGTGACTGATCGACCTTTGAACGTTTTAAAAATCCTTTTAAATTGGTATCTGGATACATGCCAACAGCTTCTTTTTGATTTTGGAACTCTCCCCCGGTATTTTGGGAAATATTCGTCCTTGTGCTTTGGTCGCTTAAAATTTGTTGCCTTTGCATCACTTCCATCAAAGTTCTATTCACTTCTGGTACATTAAAGCTTAATTCTGTTGCTAAAGTTCGCACTTCTTGTATAGTTTCGTTTACTGGCTTTTTGTTAGTTTCGTTTAGGTAGGAAGTTGTGGTGGTTGCAGGATCAAATAACTTGGCAAGAGCACTTTTGGCTTCTTCCGAATCGTTATATCGCATTCCAGCAATGAAAACGTGATTTTCATTTGGAAAAAAAGTGCCAAACATTAGAGGAATATAAGTAAAACTATCGACAAAAGAATCGTTCTTAAGAATATAGTGTTCTATGTGCTCGATTTGAGCCTGATTCTGATCTGCACTCCTAATTTTACGATTCTTTCTCCGCTTTCTGCGTCGCATAAGTGATTTGGCCTGTTGCATCCTTGTACCTAAATATTGCTTAAAACAATTGACGTTTTCTGATCTTGATAGAGCGTCAGTGTCTTTAAATCCGGGCACTACTTGCTTGACAACATATTTGTATGGGTGCGGTTTAATTTTAGAGATCGTACTATCCTCTAGAAGTCTACTTATTAAAAGACTTTCCATCAAGGGTAAAGGCAATAAGTCTGATAGTGAAGGACATTCTTGAGTTTGAAGCTTTCTATAATCTAAAACGACGTATGTAACTATAAATAAATATTTACATAAAAATATCACCTCTTCTATCATTTGATACCATATTTTCATTCTTTATTGGGTCATCGATGCTTTCATAACGTTGATATTTTTTTCTGCCATTTATATTCTGTTTATCTAGCGCTGCAATATCACTAACTTTACGATTGTCCTTTTCCCGCTGAGACAATAATTTCTTAACGAATACACCATTGTCGTTTTTTGTTTCGCTTACACTAAACGCCTTATCGTTCGAATTTCTATTTTTAATGTCGTGTTTGAAACCATCGTGCAAACTGATATCTTTAGGTGAATTTTCGTATTTTTGAATAGGGAATTGTTCCGGTTCAACGATATCGTCAAAATCGGATACCTCGTCTAAAAGGTAGAGCGGTGATGCTAATCCACTTGGAAATATGGTCAGCAACCTAAAAATTGTGCATTATTGTGGTAAGACTAGTTTAACATCCCGAACCATAGTGCGCAAAATATACAAAAAGGCAATAAATGAACTGCAACTGAAAACTGACTGAAAAAATAATATGACCGTACTTACAGAACGCTCAATATACAAAAGTGCATCGAAAAGGACCATCAACGGAAAAAATGCTGCGCATTATACGCACGACACCATATGCGACGTTTCGCGTAAATGTCAGTTTGACTGGTGCCCGGATGGTTGGGTTAGTCAGTTCACACATTTATATTTTACTAAATCAAATCTCAAATATATGTATCAAATGACATTTTGGTTAATTTGAAGCAAGCATCCCTCCTTACTAAAGTTTCTACTCTACTGAAGAAATATCAGGAATAGCTTCCCATTATCTGATGTCATCGTAAAAGTTATGGAAGCTTATGAGAAGACAGCCAAACTTTCCCTCGAACACCGAGACGCTTAGTTGTTGATACTATAAGGCTTTGGCCTCATGGTCAAGAATTCTTCCCAGATTTTTTTTTTGATTTAAACTTTATACACCCTTATTACCCTTACAGAATTCGAAACTAATAATAAACTCCTGCGGTTAGATAATCTTATTTATAGAAAATCAGACTTAACATTGGGTTATTCAGTTTATGTGTTATGGTCCGATGCACACAGACCGATACTTTAATGCATTCTCATATCACCATCTGGCCCAGAAGTTACTCGTTACCAACTCTCTTGTTTATAGGTTCCTAAAACTATCTAAACTTGAATCACTGGACCCATAATTAAAACGCCTTAAATCTGCTCTTCTTTCTAATAATTGTGAATGCGGAAATCAAATCCTATTTGACCAAAATAAAATTCTTGCATTTAGTCTTTTCTCTCTAAGGATCTCTCTCTCTCTCTCTCTCTCTCTCTCTCTCTTGCTGATGTTTCTCCAATCATTCCGTTGACTTCTTCGGAGCTTAGCTTAGTCTGGTATTATATTCTGTATCTGCTCATATATTGTTTGAGAGGAGTGGAGCTATAGAAGGGACATGAACATTGTCTCAACATTGTTTGTTTATTAGTTTGACTGTTACGGGGAAAATATGTTCCATTAAGAATAGAAGAGACTAACCAGAATATCGTTTGGATCTAATGACATGGTTTTTAATTATTCAATAAAATGAAGGGAATTAAGTTCCAAAATGTCAGTTATTAGATTAAAAATCCTTAAAATCTTAATTGAAAAATGCTTGTCTCGAAGCAGGTACAGAGTATAATGCGAGTCAGTCTCAGTTAAGCTCTAAAGAAGCAAACAGGATGATCGGCGAAACGTTACCAAGTTTGATTTATAAACAACCGACGCAGGACGAACCGAGAAGATTTGTAAATAGTATTACAGTAGCCTGTGAAAGTTTCTTTGTTGTGTTGTTTGAAAGTTTGATCCACGTGATTTGTAAATAGTATTACAGCAACTGTAGAAGTTTCTTGGAAAAGCCATTATAATAAAAAAAGAACAATTTAAAATATTACAAATCATACGATACACGATGACATAATTATCCAAAAAATTCGGCGACTTTGTAGCAACAGATCTCAGTCTGCAAATCATTTAGTTTTGTTTTAAAGTTGTTCACACGGGAACTATTCTAATTGCCGGTATCTTAATGTCAATTTTTATCCTTGCCGGAAAATCATAAATATCCCCCTACTTTTCTTATACACATATGTTTGATTTTAAATGAATGGATACAGATGTTTAGTAATTATTTTTATTTGATTTACATATTATTGCATTTTTTGATTTCTGAGAAAATTTCATGCTGAGTTCTTTAAAGTTGCCCTATACTTAATTACAGTAGTTTCTTGGACACCTTGATTAAGTTAAAAATTTTGAAAGATGTAACATCATTTTGAACAATGCGCGTTTTAACTAATTTTCCTATACTTATTTTCAACGGTTCAGAAATCAATCAAAACCTAAAGTTTTTTCTAGTTCGCACCGATTATGACAAATTTGACACCTTTTTAGTTTTATTTACAGGGTGAACGGGGTTAGAAGACTCTAGAACTGACCACTTTTCACCTCTGGTCAAGTCAAGTCAAGTTCTTAGAAGGGCAAATAAAATGCATATTATGATTTCGATGTATTTATTTAAATAATAAGTATATTTACAAATAAATCAACAGAGAAATTGAACTCTAACTATTAGAGCTACATATTTATATCATTTTTTTTAACATGTACTTGATAAATTCCTCATAGTTGCCAAAAAAACAAATCAAGATTCAATTATTTTAATACATAAAATTTCCACATTTTTGAAACTATATTACACACATCACCACACATTCCGCATTAAATGAAAATAAAACTAATATGCCCAAAGCAAAACGCGTTTAGAAGCCTTTTTCAGAGCTGTAGTCTTGATTAAAAGGGGGAACTCTGTAGAGGTCGCTATTAATCCCATAGTAATTAGGGGTAGAGGGGCAGTCCACGTTGAAAAACCAATCGCACACCCTCGCAAACTGGTTGAATATGGTACCGTTCGGGCACAAAAAGCTAAATTTTTGTCCATTTGGCAAACACCAATGCCACACCTGAAACATACATGCAAATTTATTGCAATCCTGGTCATTATAAATGTATTATTAGTTAGAGTTTATAGGTAATGTATACCACAATGTTTGTTGTATTAGGGCATTAGTGAATCAGGTTGACAATATTTTAATGGGAAACAATTTTCAACCGGAATCTTATGGTTTGATATCTGAAAGAGGTATTGAAAACAGAAATAAAGTCTAATTATTCAAAGGATGCCGACTTCTGCCACATTGAAACTCACAATATTTTTCAAAAAGACGCAATTATTGAATATGTTCGACAACCCTTAGTTCTGTTGAAGACTTAATAACTGAAGAATATTATTGGAATTATTCATTTTTTATATATTTCAATTCGGCAAATAAAATAATTAACTCAATTCGTAAAATATCATCTTATCGAACGACCTAATTAGTCCACTCTAGAAATACTCGAAATTTATGTTAATTATTAAAGGTTATACCCAACTTTTTATATAAGTTCGGAGCGGTCCAATACCCAAAGTATATTAACGCAGACTTATTCGGATTTAGTTTTAAGGCAGGATTATTCGAGTATTTAAAGAAGGATTCTATTACTCAGTTTCCTTGAGGATTAAACCTAGTTTTTTATGAAAAAAATAGTGATAATACGTGTAAGGATATCTAAAGGCAGTAACGTCACCTACCGGGCAATTTGTTGGCCTTCGAAGTAATTGCAAAAAAAACTATCTTACACAGATTATGATTTGGCGTCCTAAATAATATTAATGTAAACTTCCCAAATTTAATTTTTTTTTTTGGGTTATTTTAATTTTTTTATTATTTTCAAGTTAGTCCGGCTTACCTGACATTGGGCTTCGGGATCGCTGTAGTACCCAGGCAGTTTCTGGTCGCATCGAAACGATAGTCCTTGAGGAATTTCACTGTATACAGGATAGTCCTGACCCGGTACGTAACTGTCGAGAAGCTGAGAACAAATTCGGACAATAAAGATATAATAATTCAAACTTCAACTAGAACAATAAATCAGTAATTAACACGATTAACGTTGAATGTTTAATTAAAATTCTGGGGATAATTTTGCCAAATTCTGTTTAAATCTATGAGCTGGGTTATTTTAGTACCATTCTATATTTCACATTATACGTGTAATTTTTTTATTTGTAAGGTAAATTAAACGCTTTTTCAGATAACTTTTCTCGATATTGTGTCATCTAACTTCAACTTCGCCGCCTCGATATTGCTACGTTACTTATGCCTTCCTATCACCAAATGTCCCATTTCTTATCAACAGGGCCCTGTATAATCATTAGGTCATGAAAATTTGATACCTACAGAAAAAAACGGGTTAGACCATCTATGAATTTAAGACTGGTAGATATTATAATGGCGACTAAAAACTCTTTTTTCAAATAAACCTTTTATACCCTCGCATAGAACAAGGACCGACCTACAATATTTCCAAACATATCCGTGCACCCATCTCACCCGTTATTCTAAAACAACAATTTTTTTTTGCGATTATGTCAAAAATCGCCACGTTATTGTAACAAATTTTTGGAGAAACTGGGTTGTAAATACATATGATGTTTACGCTCCTAGCCAATTGGTATGAGTGGGGCAAGTATGTTCTATTGGTACGAATATACCAGGGGTTCCCAGCAATGGCGACCAGGTATGGTATTAAGGAAACAGATGGTCCAAGAAATTTGAAAAAAAAACTGTTAAGTAAACCAGGGAAAAGAAAATGGTGTAAATTATATTCGAGTTGCTGAAATGTCCACCAGTGGCGTAATTATTATATTGGATTTTAAAACTCGGTTATTATGGTTAAAAAGCGTACTGTTTTAAACATGAGGCAAATTGAAATCTATTTTGTTGTGTGGTGGTGTGGTGTTGAAATATTTTCTTTAACAAACGTCTGTATCCCCAAAAAGCCAAGCGATATATTTTTATTTAAAATGCCAAATGATATTCAAAATCAAAATAAAATTATTTATGTTCATTACTCTATTATAATTCCTTCCGAGGGCACGAAACTACCACGTAGCTGACATTTTTACATTTTGACATTTTGACAAGCTTGCCGTTTTCAAATATTTAGTATTATTATTTAATTTTCCATTAAAAATTTAATCTCGAACTAATTTTATTACCTTTTGAAGTATTTAAGTAATAAAATGTGGAAAACCATTTAAAAAATTAATAAAACATCTTTTTTCATATTAAAAACTATCAATATTGGGATGAAAACAAATTTTGTCTGATACGGGGGCCCTGTCTATGTCAATAATACAGGAACTTACGAAGCAGCTACGAAAATATTTTTCAACCTGCACATGCGGGTGATTTAAAACATGACCCCTGACAAATCGCCAATAGGTTTCGATGGGGCATTTTTACAGCAGAACTTTCTTAAAACATGCCTAGATCTCATTAAATGTTCTGGGATAACGAGTTAAGAAAATGGCGCAAAATGCAGGTTAGTGGGAGAACTACGGCGCATCAATTTTTACCGTAGTAGGGCCGCTACTACACTATTACACCTAATAATAGCTATAGCTATATGGTCCATATAGCTATAGCTAATAGCTATATGGACCAAATGCTACGCGTGTTTCGTTGGGTTATTTGGTCCTTGTCAAAGTGCCTTGATTGCCTACCGTTTTTATTAGTTTAAGTTTGTTCAATATTTATCTCATCAAAATCGAATGCCTTGAAGAAATCGATGCTTTCGGGACGGAGAAAAATACTGATTATTTAGATACATATTTTACAATTTAAATAATTCAGTTATTGATAAAATTGATTAGTCTTCGACAATTAAAGAGTTGTGGTTATTTGACTAAACCTAATTATTAATGTAACAATAAGTGATAATGCCATATATTTGAGTACGGTTACGTCTATGTATTGTAAAAAAGAATAAAGATAAATAATAACATTTTATTTTGACTTTAAGTATCATTTCTCATCGCATAATAAGTTAGCGTTTTATTTTTATACATTCGGAATAATTTGATTTCGATAACAACCCGTAAAATTCAAAATTTTCCCAAAATAAAACTTTTTAATAGCGTTAAGTTTTTCTATTCATGTTTTAGGTTGGGATAACGGTATTGAGATAATGTTTTAAGTGAGTTGCTTCGCTTTTTATGTGACTAACTAATAACATAATAAAGGTTATTCTGTGGTGGAGCATTGCACGCGACTGTTTAACCTCCGTTCGCTCCCGACAGAATCCCATGTATTCGTCCCAAAAAGTTTGATATCTTTTTCCACGGTGTGGATTTGGTATTTTGAGTGTTTAGTGTATGTTTTAAAGTGATAATCGTCGTCGGCCCCGTCGTTTTTCCCTGTTCACGCCGGTATGGAGGCCGGATGGGCCCGGATGGTCCCGGGTGGAAGCGGGGGGAAGCCGATTTTTTTTTGGTATCGGTCAGAATCGTTTTTTGCTAGCTGAGCAAATTATTGGTTATTTTTCTTCTTTGTACATGGTGGTCATAGACCAGAAACGAAAATCCTCGACGGAAGTCGGCAATGGGCGAATGATCCTAGCAGTCGAGCCCAACATTTTTTGTGAAACGCATAATTGAATTGAATTGAATAATAAAGGTTATATCGTTGCATTTCTTCTTTTTTCGGAAAATTATTTTGTTTTTATATTGTATCAGAAAACTCCACCTGGTGCCAACATAAGCACACATCCACACATCCCTTTTTAACGGCTACAAGTTTATTAAAATGCGTTGAACCCTTTGGATATATGGATATTCGAACACTCCCCAATTAATTAAAGAATTCGAAATATTGATCCATTACGGTAGTACACAATATTTGAAAAAGCTTGCTGTGTTAATTATCGAGAATTTTCAATATAACTTCATTATATTTTTATTAATTGTAAACAACATTTTCAATCCGTAATGAGAACTGGTAAAGAAAATTCAACCACTATACCCATATACGAGAGAAATATCACATAACAAACACACATAAATTCACAAATATTGTAAAATGCCAATTAGTCAACAAAATGGCCGCAGCTGTCGGATAGCCTAACCGGTTTGTGAAACGCTACGGGTCGTCTAGTATTAGAATGGAAGAAAATTTGAAGCCCGTAGCTTTAACGGTTAGAAAGTTATCTGGAATCAAAAACCCGCCTGAGGTCCGTTACGGAGATACAGAGAACAGAAAAAAGTTTCCTTTTTCGACGCTGAATCCATCTGACCAACCGCGACCCCGTACGACTAACGTAGATACTTTCGTGAAACACGATTTCATCGGTTTCTCGAAAGTAACAAGTATTTGGTTAATTCTGGTTAGTTTCTGTTTTCCACTTGTTGAGCTAAATTGATTGAAGGAGACAGGTAGAAGTACAACTTGAAAGCAAATGGATGACAAAAATTTAACGCCTTGTAGTATTTGTTTTTATCGGCGACTTGAACTCTTGGGAAATATTAATGTATTTAACTTCCCCAAAAATATTTATTTCTTTCCGCTGGCCAATATTATTCATAAAACGTCCAATAAACTTCGACAGAGTTAGACACTGTGCCACTGTCTAGTCAATGTTGAAAATAAACACCTTTAATTCTAGATTAACTAACGCATCAGATAAATAGTAGTGATTTTGCATAGTGCCTGGTAAATTGATCATTTTGCAGAATACCTAAATATTTAGCACATTTACGGTTTTTGCAGATTACCGGTAACAAATGCATAAATAGTAAACCGTTAAACTAGTTTCCTGAGGATGCATGTACCTTTCAAAATCTCTTGCACACAATGAACATAACTAATAATCCCAGGATATAGTAAATTAGATTCAATAAATAACAGCTATTATTCGTTTATGCAGATGACCCTCGCAGATTTTGATAAAGTGTAAAATTCCTTTTCGGAAGAGCCAATATACATAATTAATATGAACGTGTTTGAACGTTGTTATATACAAGGTGATCGAAACTGTTTCTCAACTAGATGGACTTGGTCTCGATTTTTGAAAAATAGTTAATAATGAAAACCTCATAGACGAAATCTTCAGATCAGACAATTTTCGACTATTTGCAAAGCTGCCGGGGTATAGAGGTTGCGCTGAAGATGTAGTACCTTTTATCAAGACTGGTGGCGCCCACTGAAATTTTTGGTGGGTGTCGGCGATAACTGAGCCTCACAGGGCACCTAGTTCTCATTTATGACTCCAAGTTACCAAGTTACCACACTCTGGGAAACTGCAACCACCTGCAGCCTAAACTAAGTGAGGATAGCCAGATATAGTGGACAGCGTCTGATCTCCATATTGTATGTTTCAGTAACAAACCTATAAGGATTGGAACTTGGAACACACGAAGCTTGTTCCAAGCTGGGAAACTAGCAAACATGTAAAAAAAATGAACAGACTGAAACTGGACGTTCTGGGAATCGCAGAAACTAGATGGTCAGACTCCGGAACATGGACTGTCGAAAACTACTCTGGCCGTCAGCGCAGAAATCACAGAAATCATGTGGGATTAATGATTTCGAAGAGCCTGATGAAATCAGTTGTGCCTAATTCAGATCACATTGTCATGATGAACCAGTCATGAAACCAGTTAACCTAAATGTGATCCAGGTGTATGCACCAATAGCTGACGCACTAGACCAAGATTAGAACAGTATTGTAGTGATGTATATAATCTACTGAGGTTAACTAAGAAGCAAGAAGTTAATATAATAATGCGAGACCTAAATGCTAAACTACGCAGAAGCAGATTTGAAAACATGATTGGACCCTTTACTCCGGGTACAAGTAGTGAAAGGGGGGACCGACTTCTACAGTTTTGTCAAGAAGAAAACATGACATCCACTAATACTCGGCTTTCAGCATCATCCTCCCTATATAGCCATCATATACTACTATTGGTCGTACTGAAAGTGTCGCTCTCAAAGCCTAAAAAAGAAACACCACGACGGCCAATGGCATTGGATAAACTACATAATCCAGTCCCTAAAACCGAATAAACTAACCAGTTAAATTCGCAGATTCAGAAATTATATCTCAAAATCAGAGGTGATGACGTAACGTAGGGAGAAATAGCGAATGTGTTAAAAATCACCTCACAAAATGTTCTGGGATGCAGAACTATAAATAAAAAGCACAAATGGATGACCGATGAAATTCTGTTACTCATGGGTGAATGCAAAAAATTTAAAAATGATAGTTTCCGATATCTTTATTATTTATTAACATTTTTTATTCAGATAAAGACATTTTTGGGGCTATTTTTCCGAGGCAAATCCAGTGGCGCTTTCGGTTTTCTTATTTTAATTAATTAATTAATTACTCTACCTCTATTTGGTGTTAAACCTAGAGAACAACACTTTGTTAAAGTTTTCTAGTGCATCAAAGAAGTTTGATTCGTATTTTTTCAAATTGGAATATACCAAAACAATTTAGGTTGTGAAAAAAATCAACTATGATAACCATATAATTATAGAAAAATCTAAGTACGCCACTGCATGATCCCAAATTGAAATACGCCCTGTAGTTCGATCCATGCCGATATCATCTATTTTGCTCTGTCTATTTTAGAAATAGAAGTTTTCTGTTAAAACACACAAAATTAAGACCAGCTTGTGCAGCGGTTATATTTTATTAGCAGATTATTTGAAACCAAGAAAATAATTTTTGGTTATTAACGGTTCCAAATCAAACCTTACTAACACCAGGAATCCCACCTGGGTCCCATTTGGGGCCCCTTTGGCCTCCTATCATGCAAAAAGGGAGTTTAAACAATTCTGCAGATGATATAAAAATTAATTTCATATTTTTTAATTTTAATATTCTGAATTTTGGTATGCACCTTTTAAAAACATTTTCACATATACCTACGGGATACTTGCTTAATATCAGCTTTCTTATTCAATATGTTGTATTTTTGGTTTCTAAATAAAATTCTGAACAAGTTTTACTTAAAGTATTTCATGTCCAAAACTAACAGTTTCAGCAATATTTGCTAATTTTCTGTAAAAAATGTCAAACACAGTACTTTGTTTAAAATTAAATTATTCAAGCAAGATTTATACAGGACCAACTTCGCCGTCCATGCCCATCTTTGAACATCTACAGTTATACGGAGTATACCGAAAAAATGGTAACTTTTTAACATATTTGATTCATGATATTTTTTTTCAAATGGAACACCAGGTAGTTTTTCATTTTAATAAGTTCGAGTTCCTATTTTTAGCCATTTCTTAGATATCAAGGTTTTTGTCCGGAATGTGCAGAGAATAACCGTTTTGATTCAAATTAGTATAGTAGCTTAGTAACACTATAATAGTTATTATGAAACCTCATTTATTCATACATATGAAAAAATGAACACAGTTGTTACAACTTTGTTTAACCTGTCCATTTCAAAATATTTTATTCAATTTGAAATATACCTGTGCTAATTTGTTCTGTATGTATACCAGTAAAAGCTGCATGGACTCTATCTAACTGTTCTTCTCACATATCTCACATATCATATTTATCCATAGAAAAAGTCATAAATATGAGCAAAAGTGTAATTATTTTCAATTCAAGTTATTTTTGTCGCACAATTGGCAAACTAAACTATTTGGCATACTTTTGAATAGCGTGGCGTTTGTTTCGTCATGGGGTACTAGACAAATTTCAATCAAAACGGTAATTCTCTCCACATTCCAGACAAAGAACTTTATATCTAAAAAAAATGCTAAAAAATAGGTGTAAGACAATTAATGTTAATTAATAAAAAATAATTAAAATGAAAAATATTATCAATCAAAATTGGTATACTATAAGTTGCTCCGTGGTTAAAGTTATTCTTCTAAGTTGTTTACCGACATTGAGTAATTTCATTTTAAACAAAGTAGTGCGTCTGACATTTTTAGCAGAAAATATCAGAATTGATTTAGAATAAAAAAATACAATAATAGGGTGGACCCTTTAAAATAAGAAAGCTGATGTTGACCACGACTACATGACACATATTTTTAAAAGGCACACTACCAAAATTCAGGATAAGTCCTTCTTGACATAATTGTAATAGACCATCTACGTGAATCACTCTGTAAACATTTATGAAAGTTTTGGAATATAATTGATGATATTTAATTTTTGAAAAATGGAAATATGTTTATGTAAAATATCTTTAAAATTTAAGTTACTTTTTATTTACTAGAATCAACGTTCAGCCCACTGTGAGACGCCTCACAGCTACACAGAGCTTCTGCCTGCGGTACGAAGCAAAACCAGGCCGGACATTTCCCGTTCCGTTCTTTCGGCGGTCGATCGTATTAGTACTTGCCCGCAGTTGCCAAATCAGGATTTCCAGGCGGATAACTTAAATTCAATGCACACAAATTTGGCAACTAAGATGGATGGATTGCCTCCTTTGAATATTGCGAAACGATACCCGCGCTTCAATAAACAACAACCGGTAACATCTTCGGAGACCAGGTCACGGCGAAAAGAATGAATTTCATCTGCATGCGCGCGGGAAAATAACACAATTGACTGAGGCAATAGGTTTTGGTGCCCTCGTTTCGGCGCAACCGTTTTTAGGAAAAAATAATTTGTCAATAAACCAGACTGCTTCCTACACGCAGGATAAGAATGTGGAATTGTAAAACTGAGTGGTCTTAGCCGTATTCCATAGGCTTACTTTTGTACTCATGAAAGTTGTCATGATGTAGTCAAATAGTTGACCTACCTATTGCCTTAGTATTTAAAATTAGAATCATAGTTACTTTCTGGCAGTTATTGCCAAAGTCTGTTGTTGAAAATGGCTAGCGTTTCTGAATGTCTTGCTGAGAACCGAATTAGTATATTTACCCTAAAAATTAAACTATCAAGGAGACATATTGATTAATCATATTTACAATGTGGTATCAGAAGGAACTTTTCAAGTTCTATTTTCTATGCTTTAACCAGCCTAACCTATCCAGATATAGTGAAATATGATTTCTACGTCTCCATATTGTTATTGGTCAACGACGAGAGGTTTGAACTTTTTGAATACGATACGTCTGCTGTTAGAATGATTAGACTGTGACAATACTAGAGCATCGTAAACCTATTACCATTCTGTAAGAGACAGTGACGACTTCCATAAATTAATTTTAGATTACTGCATGCAAACTTCTTGCTTGTTAATGAGCTCTCACTTTTTCCAGAATCTAGAGTAAGTCCTAAACTTTTGCAACTGCTACAAAAAGGCAAAACAGTTAGTTCTTCATAGAGAATTTTACAATGTTTTTTATATTATCAATTTGATTGTCATTTCCAAATATCATCACTATTCAAATCACAATTGCCTCGTTAATGCATTTCTCAGAGAACGAAAAGTAAAGTTGAGTGGCATCGGTATAAAAATGATAATCACAAAATGGTAGTTATGTTCTAAAACTGAATCTAAAAATCGCAACAGAAGTACTCCCTTGTTAACAGACGAAGACCTAGAGGTTGATTCGTTGAGTAGTACTTTTTGTGTTCTGTCATTTAAATAGCGTAATATGATTTTTCAAGATACTTCACTAGATCCTATGTGATGAAGAACTGAAATGGAGAAAAGACAGTTATTTTGTTATCATCAAAACCCTAAGGTCTTAAAACTAAAGGAAACTATCATTTCAATTTATCTGATCTTTACGATATATCCTTTATGTTGTCCACCCTTTTATAATGATCCCTCTCATTGCAAATTTACATTTTATGACTCTCGCATTCAGAAACGAAATATAGTTGCGCACACAAACATAAAAATGAAACGGAAAACACTTACGCAAAGGGCAAAGGGCAGAGAACATCCCCAACACGTAACGAACCAAGCAATTTTAATGAAACGCATCTTCGTCTCTTCGACAATAATTTTCTTACCGCGCCGCTAATAACGAAACACAAAGTATCCGCAAACAATGGATGGGAATTCTTGACGCCCGCTTTTTTATACCCCGCGATATTAAGTAAGATGTCCACCGTAATCGTCTGGACAGGCACCGACGAACGCGGGATTTTTCCGTTTTTCAGTTGTGCTCGAACTCAAAACAATTACGATGTTAATATGTATATCAGGCGTGTTTGAATCGATTTTTATATTGAATGTGCCGAAGGACTCTGCCGCAATCATCCTCCGTTGGCTATGTGGTTCATGACCCGCTCTAATTGAACGATTTTGCATTTATTAACTGGGCGAACCTGCAACCGCACACTAACCTTTTTATAGGGTGTTTTAAAAAACCTTCCGCTAATTTCTATGCTAAATCAAATATATTATTAGTATATAGTACAGTGCACGGCTAACAGATGGAACAAATTTATTTAAGTCCTTCCTTTCCTTTTTTTTCTTGTTATTTTTAGAGTTTTGTGTACGGTGAAAACTCTGTTTGTGGACAGCTCTCATAAGCGGACCCAAAGTTTTGCGTATCAATTCTTATAAAATACTTTTTCATAAGCAGACGCTTTGACGGACGGGGCAATAAAATTACCTTCAACAGACTCAAAACGCTCCCATGAAACTGCGAAACTAGACGAAATAAACCGTTGCCAATTGGCAGCCGCGGTATTTCCCCGAAATCTGAAATCTCACCACTTGTGATACTATCTCCAAATCTTCTGGATTCCTCCTTGTTGATAAATCGAACTTGCTGATGTTTCGCCGATCAGACTGGAAGTTTTTTTGAAAAATCACCGTTGGTCAGTGATTTTTTTGTTAGGGATGTTACTAATAAATTATTTACATAAATAGAAACTAAGTAAACAAACGGTAATGAACAAGTTTTGATTTGCCTTTTTTTATGTAAAAAAATTTTTAGATGCTTAGGTTGATTTCATCTTTTTTAAATTCCAAATAAGCAAAACTCAGGCAGTAGACATTACAAAACACAAAGACATGTTAAGTGGCAACCAGGTGACAATTTGGTGCAAAACACCAAAAAACTTAAAGCAGCTTCAGCACAGATTGACAAAAATTGTTTGGATTTGCTCCGATGTCACAGTCGTTAAACCAAAACAAAAGCCAAACAAAGGGCTGCTGAACCAATTTCTAGAAAATTTACCACCAATGCTGTTGGGCTATAAACCAGAGGATATCTATGATACAGATGAAAGTATTTCAGGACACTGCTTGACAAAATGTTAACACCAAAAAGCGAAAAGTGCAGTGAGGGCAAAATGTCAAAATAACGACGACAATATTATTGTTCTACCCTCTAACACAACATCTGTTTCTCATCCCTTAGATTGGGACTCAATTGAAATTTTTCAGTTTTTTTATAGTGAACAGATTTTGAACAATGCGGTTTCAAAAATAGATGATTTTTCTGTTTCAGAACTCTCAAAACTAATCAACATTTTAGAATCTGTCTATTTTATTAAGAAATGTTGGACAACACATTTTCAGCATTTGCTTTTGAAAGAAAAGAATGAATGAAACAGTAAGAAAAATCAGATTATTTTAAAAGTTAGTTCAATTGACAGGTTTTAGATTTTATGCAGTATGTATGTATGTTTTACATTGGATTATGTTTGAAACGAACAACAAATTAAAAGATTGTGTTTAATACATACGCTGGTTCATATTAATTTATAATTTTTTACTATATTTTATTTAACCCTTCTCAGAAACGGACAAAAATGCTGGAACCGTCGATGTCCACTTATTAGAGCTTTCACTGGATATTCTTTTATAGATTTGTGATTTTTTCAAGCTTCATTTAAAAATACCTCTACTTCAAATAATTTTTGTTACTACTATCTAGAAGACGCATTTCCCAGAGTTTACTCGAATGTAATCGGTTTTTAATCGGGAGGAAATCCTTTTTTGTCTAGCACTTTTGAAAAATGGCTTTTATACTGACAAAATAAATGATTTGATTTGAATTGATTTAATTTAAAAATCAGGTATTAGGTTTCAAGAAAAACAGAAAATATGCACAGTGGGCCAAAAAGTAGATCTCGATACCAAATTCACTTTCCTAAATTTAACCCCGTCTTTTTAAATCTATTTTCGAATTCTGCGTCAAAGTTCACGCATAATTCATGTGGCACACCCTATGCCAATCTCCAACTTTTTATGAGCAAAAGAGTTAAGAAAAAGGTAAGTAAAGTTCTTAAATTGTTACAATTACATTTCTGTCAGTAAAGAAAGGGATATCTAAATGAAACCAAGCACTGAACTTTTAATTTTTATTGGATATGGAGATAAATCGAGAACTCACAAAAAAGTTTGTAATTTGTTTAACACAAAACACCCAGAAAAACTCAGTACAAGATCCGCAGTGAGTAAAATTGAGAGACAATTTATAAAACAGGCCATGTAAAACGTCGTCTACGCCTAGGTCGTCCAGATACTAATACACATTTTATTAGAAGTTGACGAGAATCCCCATCGTGTAACTAAAGTAGCTTCAAATAATGATGTTAGCCAACGAACAGCTTTGCGTGTATTAAAAAAAGAAAAGTATCATCCGTACAAGATTACATTATTGCAGGAGCTGAACGAAGATCTCGACCGCAGACTAGAGTTTTGTCAAACTATGATGGAAATATGCAACTGCAAAACATCCACAAAAAATTGTACGTTTGGGCAAGGATCTTGAATAACAAAATTATTCGACCTTATTTCTTTGATCAAAATCTTACTGGAACTCAATATTTACAATTTCTTCGAAACGCCTTAAGTCTCCTCCAAGTTTCTTTCCCAAATCCAAATCAACCTGAAATTCCAGATAGATACATTTGGTATTTCCCGGACAGTGGATTGGTAAACGGGACCTGCAAGATCTCCAGATATTTTGTCTTCCTCCCTCAAAGTGTATAATCAAAAACCATAGTTTTGGGTTTAGATGGAAAACTTCCACAAATCAAATGGATATTTGCGATGATTGGTGATAATCGAGAACCCATAGCTGTTCCTGATATTTGTTCATAAATTTGACTGTTATAAGAAAAAATATGGTCCACATAAGTACTTTTCAATTAAAATGAAATAATTTCATTCCAGATTGTAGTTTATCTGAAATTATGTCGTTTCAGGAATAGAAACTTAAGTAAAGTAACCAAAACTCAAGCAAGCATGAAATACGAAACTATGAGTTATCTGTGTAAAGGATTTAATAGAACGAATGGGGTCATGCTAGTTTGCAAACATTACAAAGTCCGTAGAACGGAGGAATTTTGGAATCTAATAAAGAAACCTTCAATAGCAGATTTAAGACTGCGTGCCGATGACGTATGATCTTTTTTAAGTTAACGATAGGATCCGTTTGTAAGAATATCTCAAATTTCTTTTTTTTGATACTCAGTTCTGTTCATGACAACCGTAGCATTTCCATTATCTGCTATAGCAGGAATAGACTTTAAAGATTTTAGAGCTATGCGTTCATATGTTAGAAGATTGGATTTAGAAAATTTGTTTTTTTTAAAGGATTTTTGCGGTTTCAAATCGAATTTCTTTAGCCCTTTAAGATAAAAATTTGTTTAAAACAGATTCAACATTTCAAATGATTTGCTCTATCTACCTGGTGCAAGGACGAAGCTGAAACCCGAAGAATTGATTTTTTTGTCTCAGAAAGTTGATACCACAATGTTTGGTAGTTGACAAGAGCTTGATGGTTCCACTTGTGTTGAGGTTAGTCTTTCGAATTTTTTAATGTGATTCTGGTTAGAAAATAAAGGTAGGTTTTCAGCTTTGTCCTGAGTAATATTTGAAAATATATCGAACTCGGGAGGGGACAGGATGGAAGCAATTTCAAAATGCAGGGACAGGAAAGTGTTATTGATTTAGGCTGTTTCTTTACGGGTTGTTGTTGTTGATTTACTATCTTCTCCTCTCTCATCTGTTTTTGTAATAAAGATATAAAATTTCTTGAAAAAGTCATTCCTTGGGCGATTTGAATACTGATTTCAGTGATTTGAATTTAAGAAACCCTACCAGAATATCTAATATTCGGATTTTATATGATCTGTACCAAACCATCTATGAATTTACTCGAGTAACAAATGATAATAATAGCACAATCCATAAATAATCCATAAATGATCTCTCTGACAAGACAAAATCTGTAATATACGAAAAATTTTATTATTTTCAGTAAGGATACACTGTTCCGTTTTGAAAAAAATGTTCTCAAATATTTTAAGATTCATGGAATATAATCTTTCTTTATAGGTATTGAAAACTCATGTGCTAAATTCTTTTTTGTTTTATTATATAAAAAATTAGTAGAATCCTCGTTAATTTGTTGAAATTGGCGACCACAAGATCTTCAACTTTAATTTTACTCAACGACGATATCAAGTGAGCGCATTTAAAATAACTAAAGCTAAACTAACCAAAACTAACTAAAGCTAGAGTTATTACATAAGTTGAAATTAAGCAAATTGATTATTTCAGACCTCGAGATATTTTAATCAGACACGTTTATAGACTGTATGATATTCTCAGCCTGTGTGACTAAAATTTCTTTAATTTTGCTATAATTATTGTTGTTCGATACGCAAAACCGAGCGATGAATAAATAAATAAATATTGTATGAAACAATATATTTAAGATTTGGATTGAGTAATCTTTCTTCTTGTCGACTGTTAAGTTAATAAATCGCTAACGGATATTGGTGTAAAATTAATTAATTAATTAATAGTGACTGTAGAGAAACAGAGAAATTATTGCTCGACTATCAAGTTTTTTTCACCTTAAATGGAATGCGCGATCTTATAGGGCAGCAATAAGTAAAATTTCTAGGTGTCCACCCAACAATGTCTTCTAAACCTCTTATTTCCTTTTATTTTAAACTGTGTATTGAACTAATCCCAATAAATTTGAGTTACTTCAAAATTCCAACCAACAAATCACGACCAAATTTTGAAAAACCAACAGCCTTGCTAACATACCCATAAAACTTTTTGATCAATCATAAATAAATTTTAATATATTGTAAAATATAGTTTGGTACGTCATACTTTTTACACCTTAAATGAGTTTTTGCCTATGATAACCTCCGAAACTACACCTAGCAATCTGCAAAGCGTGAGCAAAAAGCTTTTATGGATTCTGTTTAGAAAACCCAATGCAGCAAAGCTATGTGGAGTTCTCTTGGGCGGGGAAAAGTAAATTTGGGAAAAGTAAATAAAGAAAATAACGCCTTACCATCTCACCTGGTCAATATTAATCCAATGCACCATAACTTTATTTCTATTCTTTGTGCTTCTAAAACTGAATCATAACTTTTACATAAGTAGAAAAACAATCTAGAAATTATTATTATCTGATCTTATAACTAATCACTTTCAAAAATTTGGTTTACAGTTACTTACTCTATCCAATGTTCTAGAAAAAAATACGCATGTACAAATGAGTGACTCCTTATTCAAGAAAAAGATTATCCCCGATACACAGATGCATTTCGTATATCTTTTGGACCTGTCTCTGCGCTTAGTAAAAATTGATACTGTTGATACTTAAAATCTTTGTCTCTTTGTGAAAAGTTTTTTTTTGGTTTTACATCTTTGACTTTCCTTCCGTTATGAAACATGTATCTCTTAATAACTACGCTGGCGATTCCCAACTGCTTCACTTTTTTCAAGCAAAAAAAGTATTTTATGCCACTACAAGAATTAACGAGGACCTACGTTATATTTTCAGCTGATAACCTTAAGCTTAATACCAATAAGTCAGTGGTCATATTATTTGGACCACAAAAACAGGTTGACTATGTCAAAAGTTATCTAAAATGAACAATGAAGGAGGTTAATGAAGAGTTTAAAACTGAAGCAAAAAATCTAGTTCCATGGATGGATAGTAACCTCAATTCACTTAACATGTCAGTTGGCTCTATCAATACTTCTACGGATTGCCTAAAAAAACTCTGTCCAAATCGTCCAAATAATGAGCTTCAACCTAAAATTATCTCTGTGTGAGTCGTTAATTACATCTAGGTTATCGTATGCTGATGTAGGCTTTAACCGCGAGAGATAGTGACAGACTCCAGAAAGTTCAGATTACTTGCTTCAGATTTTCTTACAATAATAGAAAATATGACGGGATCAGTTGAGATTTATGAAGACTCGTAAAATCTATTATTTGGGAATGGTCGTTTAATATCTGTATCTTTTAGACATTTTTCTATCTATATTACATTTTTGATTTATTGGTATTTCTGAGTAATATCGACCGCATGAGTCTATGACGCACTTTTTAGGAGCGTTTGTAGGTAGTTGTTTAAGAATTCTGAATTAATTTAATTTTAATAAACTACACTAAGACTTTTTTAACTGTGTTGAATCCTTTTATTCTAAACAATAAAAACTTCAACACTTACGTATAAGTATTAAAATTCAATCGGCCGTCTTATTTGTCCAAGAACTTTGTATCTTTTGGAGAGCTAAATACTACTACAAAAGAGTTGCTACTTTTACCTCGACGTAACAGGACATTATTTCAAAGATCATTTTCTTATAAATTGATCAACGAATTACCTGCAGGAAAAGGTTAAGAATATTTATTTTTGATAATGATTTTTTATTACAATGATATGGGTTGTATAAGGACTGCGAATATTTCTCCATTGTTTAGATTGATATCTATGAGTTTGAGTTTGTTTTTTTTTGTTCTCTTTGTATAAAAAAGGTAGTTTCCAAGCCTCCCTGGGTGATACTCAATAGTAAAACCAGTAACAGTAGTAAACTGTAAAACGTCATGTTCTTATTGTCGTGTTGTTGTTGCGTATCAAAGAATGCAAGCCCAATTGTTTGCTATTTCTCTTCACAGTGTAGTGGGAACTTCAAAAATGATATTTTTTTAAGTTGTGTTTCACGTGTGGTATCAGATTTGCAAGATATAATTGAAATAAAATGCCAAACTACTGTGATGTGTATATTTCCTTATTTTAATTGCATTTACGCCTTACTCGATAGAATACCGATACAATACGGTCGCACATGGCGAAGAATCGTCAAAAATAAACGAAGGCATAATCCCGAGCCATAGTTTCACTCGCTTACCGGATAAAACTAGAGTAGCACTCAATTAATCTCCCGCAGTTCTCCAAAAGCCAACTTGCTGTCAGACAGCACAAAAACCGGTAATAAAGTTTTGAATCTACCTCAACAAACTTTCGCCATTTTAATCTAACCTTCGAGCACTGTAGAAACACGGGGGACCACGATCTCGAAAACTCAGTAACAGCAACGAAAACAAAATCGTCCGACGAAATTCAAAATGCGATCATTGCAAAATGCACGACTTCTTGTGATGATCGTCCAACCTATGCCTTCGCTTGTACTTCTCCAAAAACTCTAGCTGCTTAGTGTTGATCGCGCCCCTCCTCTTCTCTCTGATCAGTTCCACGGCTTCTTCATATTTTAAGCCGAGCTCAATGAGCGCCAGTGCGACCAGCACGGGTGCCCGACCCAATCCCGAAACGCAGTGTACAGCTATACAAGCATCAGCATTGCCCTCGAACTGATTCTTCAATACCTGCAACGAGAAGAGAAATTGGTTTTTCATTTTATTATCTAGTATTTGAAAGTGTCAAAGAAACTTCCGCCGGCTGTAGAACTTGTAGATAGATATCTTCTGAAATTCTTTTGCATCAGGTGTTGACTCTGTCTCTTTAAATATAAAAGTTTCAGTTTTGTGCTTAATTCTTCTCATCTTATTCCAGAACTAAACAGTATTAAGTTAGATCCGGACGCCATCTAATTAGTTTTGTTAGTTAGTTTATCTACTAAGGTTCCTGTTCCTGAAACACTAACCACCATCTCACACGTCTTAAAATCCGAAAATCTCCCCGCAGACCTGCTCATTTTAATTGAAAAATATCTATCTGGGACATACTTCACATGTAACGCACAAATTTACGAAAAAAGATCGGGATCAGCTCCCTGTCATCACTAATATTTTTATGGAACATTTTCAAAAACTAGCCTTTGATAAGTTCCATCTAAAACTGAAACTGGAAGAGATTTATAGATGTTTTGGTTATCTGGCCACACGGCCAGGAATTGCTTCGAACATTTCTGAGCTATCTAAACTCCAAACATCAATTTCACAATAGAATTGGAAAATAACAACACTCTGCCCTTTCTAGACATTTTTGTTAAACGAAAAAAAAATTAACTTTGGGCCATCCCGTCTATAGAAAACCGACTCATATACGGATCGATGCCTAAATCCATAATTGCATCACCATCAGCCCCAAAATCCTCCGTGATCAATTCCTTAGTTTTCAGAGCAATATCATCTCATAACACCTTATATATATATATATATATATATATATATATATATATATATATATATATATATATATATATATATATATATATATATATATATATATATATAGCCATCATATACTACTATTGGTCGTACTGAAAGTGTCACTCTCAAAGCCTAAAAAAGAAACACCACGACGGCCAATGGAATTGGATAAACTACATAATCCAGTTCCTAAAACCGAATAAACTAACCAGTTAAATTCGCAGATTCAGAAATTATATATTCAAAATATTCTTATTTTGCATAGGTGACATATATAACAATTAATGACATTTGACGTTGTGTTAATATATTAAAAATAAAAATAATTTGTCAGCGAATATTTTATACGGATTTAATTATGTTAGTTTAAAATTGAATTACATATTTTGCTAAGGTTTTTAGAATCGGTTTTGTAATTAATTGAATTTTTGTTTTTTTGGATTTCTATGCTTTCATAAAGTTCTCTTTTTTTGGTGTTAAGTTCTGTTAGTAGGACTTTAACTTTTTGAAAATTAAATGTGTGTTTGGTGTTTTCGCAATGGGTATGAAGAGCTGTTTTGTTTTTTTTTGTCATACTTATGTCCGTTGATTCTATTTTTTAAATATTGGCTTGTTTGTCCTATATATACACTGTCGCAATTAGAGCATGGAATTTCATATACTATATTGCTTCTTTTTTAACTGGAATTTTTGCTTTGAGTTTAGTGAAGAGATATGTTTTTTGTAAATTATAACTTTTGTGTCCTATTTGAATTTTGTGTTCCTTGAAAATGGTTTGGAGTTTTTCTGATAATCCAGGTATATATGGTACCGATATATATTTTCTTTGAGGATTTTGATGTTGATTTTTGTTTACGTTATTATAAAATTTGTTGATATGTTTATTAAACATATTATTAAGTAAGTTTATGGAATAATTATTTTCTACATTCTGGATCGGATAACATTATTGCTCTGTCTGCGAGACCTATTATGACGGATTTTTTTTGGGCTAATCACTAGATTTAAAATTTAGATAACGTGATGATTTTGTTTCCTTAGTATACCAACTTGTTTTTATTTCATTTTGTATGTGATGTAGGGATAAGTCTAAAAAGTTAATAGTATTTTGGTTCTCAATTTCAATTGTGAATTGTAATTTTTTGTGGAAATTATTGAAGGAGTTTAGCAATAAGTCTGTTTTTCTTTTTGGAACTGCAGTTATGATGTCGTCGACATATCGATAAAAAAATGGTAAATTGAATTGAATGATTTTAATAACATTTTCTTCTAGATACTCCATAACAAGTTGTGCTACTATGCTTGAAATTGACATACCCATGGCACAACCTTCGACTTGTTTATAGAACCTATTTTTGTGTTGAAAAAATGTGGATTTTAGTGTAAAATCTAAAGCCATTAAAAATTCATTGAGAGGAATATCTGTGTGTGATTTAATTTTATCCCATTTTGTTTTAATTACTTGTGTGATAAGCTCGAAGGGTAGGTTGGTATATAATGATACGACATCAAGCGAAACTAGAACGTAGTTATTTGGTATTTTTAAATTTTTTATTTTTTTGTTTAAAGTCTATCGAGTCTTTGATATAAAATTTATTTTGCTTTGCTACGTTTTTTAAAATATTTTTTAAATATTAAGATAATTTTTCTGTTGGTGATTGTATGCAGGATACGATAGGTCTTAATGGGATGTTGGGTTTGTGCAGTTTAGGTAAACCGTAAATTCGTAGTGGCAAAGCATTATTAATTTTCAATTCTTTTTCAGTATGTGTTGGAATAAAAAGTTGATTTTCCCAATTTGATATAATTTCGTTTGTTTTTTTTTTTTTGGAAAATTTGTGTGGGATTAGAATTGATTTTTTTATAAGTTGTTTGGTCATCGAGTAATATTTATATATATATATATATATATATATATATATATATATATATATATATATATATATATATATATATATATATATATATAGCCGTTAGCCGTTATAACCTTTGCACCTAGTTGCCCGTTTATACTTAGTATATGGGCAAACGACATCACTAACCTTAAACCATTCGTCCATGATGAAATCTGGCGGGGCCTTTCCGTCAGGGAACGACAGATCTAAAACCACGATACCGTTGTCGTTGAGCATCTTCGTATCGTAACCTTCTTCGCAAAGCTTCACTACGGCGGTAACTCGGTGCTTCTTCAACTCCTGGATGTACTCTAGCATGCCTGCGTTAGTCGGTTTCATTGTGATCAGGAACCTGAATCCCTTGTAGGATATTTCGGCTGGGGCGTACGACGTCATCGTACTCATTTTGCTGTTCTAAAACAGACAAAGAAAATTCTTTAATTTGTAAGTTTAATAATATTATATTTTATTAATTCATATTAATATTTTAAACAAGAAAAGAAGCGAAAATTCTGTTCCAAGTAACTTACTAACTAAATAAATAAATAAACATTAGATGTACTTAAAAAATGTGTCAATATTTTTCTCGTTCTATTTAGAGAACTTTCTCTTGAACGCAGCTGAGTGAACAACACCTAAAATGCTTGAAAAATATTCGGATACAGTGAGAATCTGAAGTTTCGGAGGTTTATAAGTACTGCTTGAAAGTGCAAATTTTAAACGACATTTTTTGAGTTCGTGGAACATTTTTTTACTCACTTGCAGTTGATAGACATGTTTTCTTGTAATAACTAGGCTGCCATTGTTTAAACTCAATTATCTAATTCGTTTAAACTTCTTTTACGTTAAAGTTATTTTTGGCGCTTGGTAATTTATAATAATGTCTGTATATTATTATCAAATATTCAATATTCTGTCTATTCCTTTTAGGGACCTCCTTACAACACCAAATTCCTATCGCAGAGTAAAAACGAATGTCCTCGAACAGGGAAATAATGTTCTAATTTGTCACAACAGTTGCCAACAATAAGTTCCAAACAGAATCTAATAAAAAGTGTGGTTTTCATTTTGCCCAGTGCAGTTATCACAAAAATTTTACATCGGCTGTTATATTGTTTTTCACGTAAATAAACTAACCAAAACAAAACATCGACGTAATGTTAGGTGGTTGTTGATTTTTAAGTTTTGATATTAGTTTCTTAAAGGTGCTGCTGAGTTGATGAACATCTTACGCACTGAATAATTTATTTATTCGCCTATCAACACAAGTTCAAAGTACTTTACGTACTCCAAACGGTAAGCTTGAATCAATAACTAGTTTTTTCTACTACTTTTTCTAAAATACCCAATTATACACTGATCGGTTGCAAGTCACTTCGGATATTACCGGGATATTACCCACGGGTTCGCGAACAATCGAATCTTTTTGGAAATTTATCCACGGTTTGAATGTTAGACGCCACTCAGTGAATATATTCATGTTGTTTTGCAAAAATATACCGAAAAACTAATAGTCGTAAGTCACTCGTTTATTAAGCACTCGCAATTCGTGGCTCAAATGCCATTTACCACACTTTTTGGCCGGAATAGCACTTTTATTTTTTCAGAAATAATCGATTATATTAAAGATAAAAAAGCAAAAAAAAAAATTTGCAGCAAATTTTCTTCTGTAAAGCCGATTAAGTAAGTTAGAAACATAAATATTTTCAGGTAACTGCAAAAGCTTAAAGCCCCAAACTAACAAAAAGAATCGAAGTCCGTAAAAACTTAAGCAGGTATAACAGGAAAGAAGAATTAGCAGATACACTGAGCTGAGCAGCAATGGACAAAAAATATGATTTTGTAATTACTTTCAAATATTTATTATTAGTCTAATAAAAAAAAACAGTAATTTTACGAACTGTCCCTCTAAAAAAATGTCAAACGGCAACAAATCCAGTAGCTAAGGTACCTGCCAAACCAAGTACCTTTTCTGTCGAGTACAGAACCTGGAACTCTATGGTCCACTTCAACTACATTGGAAACGATTTCAATCATGTATATTAAAGTAAAACCATGTTGCTGTTTTCGTTTTCCTTATTTTTTCTGTTTCACTGATATGACAATTGTGCACGAAGTCAGCCTTATTTGATATAATGAAGGATTCGAGAAAGGTCGAATGTCTGTTCTTCGGTTCTGATTTTGAAATCGAAAAAGGACAAATTTCGAGGGAGAAACGACCTCTCAAAAATTAAATAAATATTTCCCTATATTTCCCCACACTTTCTAGTTTTACTCAATTTACCAAAAATTTATTAAAAGTTTGTAACTATTCATAACTATTTCATGCTCATTTTTTACAGTAAATAGAAAATATGCACGGTGTGTCAAAAATAGATGTCGATACCAAATTCCTTTTTAAATGGAACACCATTTTTTTAAATCCATTTTCGAATTTTTCGTCGTAATTTATGTAGGATACCCCACCTCTTACTTTTTATGAGCAAAATAATAAAAAACAGGTAGTAGCTAGTATCAGTAAAGTTATTAAATTGTCACAATTACATTTCTGTCAATAAATAAAATAAATATGGCGCATCTAAATAAAATTCAGAGAATTGAAATTATAATTTTTATTAAATACTAAGACAAAACGAGAACCCAAGAAGTTCGTAATTTGTTTAATGTAAACCGAAAGACCCATTACAAGATTCACAGGAAGTAAAGTTGAGAGAACGTTTATAGAAACAGGGCATGTCAAAAAAATTGTTTTATTAAGATACTTGTTATTGAAAATCCCTACCCAAACATTAATTGTTTGTGTTTGTTTTGTATGATTTTCTCTCATCCCTCAGGGATTATTTGTACTCCAATAGCTACAATTTATTTCCCATACTATTTAAACAAAACTTTGTTTCATCACCAAACAGTAACTGACGATAAAAAAATGGATTTAAGTTACACATTTCTATCATAGGTTCACAAAACTGTAATATGAAGTCTGGATCATCTTCATTCAGCTCCAGTAGTAATAATGTCATCTTATCTTCTTTTAATACGCGCAAAGCTGTTCGTTGGCTAACATCAGTATTTGAGGTTACTGCAGAAGATGGGTTGTGTTCTTATTAATTTTTACACGACATGGTCCTAGACGATCATGATTGCTTCAGTGTAGCATTGTTTCTTATAATTTTTCTCCCAAATTTGCTCACTGTGGAGCTTGTGTCTTTCTGGATATTTTGCGTTAAACAATAAAAGAACCTAGTAACAACATCTACTTTTTAACCCACCCTTTTTTCAGTTTACTACAACAAAAATGTACAAGAAAAATTATGATGGATGTGTGTGAGCATTTTTCTAGAAATCGAATACCTGATTTGTAAATAAATTTATTCCATATTTTAGCCGTTCACTATATGTATAGAAAAAATGAGCAACACATTTTGTATTCTTTGAAGCACAGGGCACAACGATTTAGATTTAGATTTAGATTTTTACGAATTTACCACAAATTTATTAAAACAGTTGGTTATGGGAGAGAAAAGGTATACAAAATTTGGTATTTGGTATTATATATATTATTTCCGCTTTATTTTATATTTCCAAATATTGCCCTATATTTTCCCATAGTTCTCGTATCGCGCCATATTTCCTGCCTATTTCCCCAACTAGAGGTAAGTGTGTCCTAGGTGGTTTCCTTCTCGAGTGTTCCCTAGCGCATAAAACTTAAAAATTATTTGCAGCGTTTTCTTTTTTGTCAGTAGTAACTTTAATCACCAAGGTATTTACAAATCCGTATGTGCAGCGAAAGTTTTTTTTTAAACACCCTGCAATACGTGAATATGAATCGCATTTCTAGCACCGTTGAAGCCAACGTTCATGAAAGTACTAATAACTAGCGAGTAACACGTAGGAGAAAATCGCACGCTAAAAGCATTAATAAAAACGAAACGATCCACACGAACACCGCTAATGAATAGAACGTAATTAGCATAAACAATATTCAGTTCGAGGATGATATATGCAAACGCGTGAGATGAAACTTTTTTTAGCGTAGTTTATTTATAATCGACTAGGTAATATTGCAACAATCGCTATCTTTTGTTTAGCGTTTCGATTAAACTTTCCGGTACCGTGGCGGGATTTTTTGAAAATAATCGACCAAACCCAAACAGCCACTGACAGTACCCCGAATCCATGAAAATGGGAGGGGCACAAAACAAATAAAACGCACTGGCAGACGCGAAAAATCAACTGTCAACTGCCTTTCACGTGAAAACAACTTTCGTCAAAGCGCGCGGGTTATATTTAGGAACGTGTATTTTTAGGCGACAACATTCGAAAAAAAACTCGTCTTTAGTATTTTAGATTACATATTGCCGAATTTTCAAAGGTTGAAAAATCGAAAAACAGGTGTTACCTGGGAGGGGTCGTTCTCAGCTGCCATTGCTGAATATATGTGGACAGAATACCCAAGATGCGAAAAAGCCTAAACTGAGAACAACGACGGTCGACATACTGAATTTGGACGACCGAGGCAAACCTGTTAATAGGTTATTTAAAATATCGTTTTGGCGTACAACACAGACCCGCGATATACCCTTTCGCTTTGTCGCATAGACTATCGGGCGAAGAAAGAGGACGGCACCTCATTGTAATAGGCAAGCGAGGCTACGTTTCAATTGGACTTACCATTTTTAGTATCTACCTCGCCCTACATACTACAATAGGAATTGGCTTTCGATAAGGCAGTATTTCTTAGGCGTAGTATTGTACCTATAATGATTGTCCTATGCCTTAGTGTTTAAAATTAGAATTATAGTTACTTTCCGGCAGTTGTTGGCAAAATTCGTATTTATGAATTTGTTGCTGAGAATGGAAAAACTGCGATTTTTAAAAATGAGAAAATTGTTATAGAATTCGGAGCTTTTTGCAATTTCAGAGCTGAAAAGCTGTTGAGTTGGACAGTCAACAATATATTGGCTTGTGAACGAAAATAAGCGCGGCCTAATCGAATCACCAAGAAGCGCAGGAAAAAAGAGACTGTAACAAATGAGGAAAAACCGGAAATACCCACTAGCGTCGACAAAATATGGTTTAAAATGAAAAAGGATAATTTGATATGGGTAACCAGAAATTGTGGAAACCTTTGAATGAATGAATGAATTTTTGTTAAGAAAAAACTCCAAACAGAAAATCACTTTTAATAGAGAAAGACCAAATTATCTGCTGACGGGGGCTATATTTGAGAACAGTTCCAATGGAAAATGGAAAATGGAAAACACGAAAATTTAAAAAATGTGATCCAAGTTTTCAAGGAAGTTTAAGCATTAGTGGCAAAAATGAATTTGTCGGTGGTGGCTTACCAGCATTTCAATCAAAACGTACTAGAGAGTATCATGAAAACATGAATGCCAATTTCTTTGAAAGCTCGTTCCAACAAATGACAGATCTTATTCCTCCTGGGTCTGTTATAATCATGACTAAGGCCCGCTACCAAGATACTATAGAAAATAAAACGTAATTTATTGCTAAAACGTTTCGTTTAATACGTTTAAACTTCATCAGGGCCTTGATCAAAAATTGACGATTGTTGAGTTGAAATTTTTATTACTTTTTTAGTAGTCAAAGACTGTTTTAAATCTAACAGAGCGGACATTTGATTTAAATAAATGATAAAAACTGCATTTCAAGAAGTATAAGGTACGCTTCAAATTAGTAAACACGCAATATACGGAAAAATTAAGGACTCAGGAATCGTCAATCTTGTCATGATCCTCACATGTGCTTGTCCACAAAATATAAATTTGTCAAGTTTGCCTATCCATAGTTTACACTGTTGCCGTTTCATAACAATTGTAATTAATGTATATAGAAATATTTTTTTAAAAATTACATAGGTACTGTTATTTAAAACTATTTATATTTTTACATAGTGCTCTATGTAGTGAAATAAAAACCAAGGTTGATTTTCAAATATAACTCAAAATTCTCAGTTTTTTTATTTTTAGGCCAATTTTTATAATTTTGTAGCCAATTGATGACAAGATCACCATAGACTATTTCAGGAAAGTGTAGAGTAATAAAATGGAAAATTCGGTCCAGTTGAGTTCAATTTCGATCCCTATTGCAAATATGATGTTAATAAAAACACTCCCTTATCATTTTTGATCTTGATGGGACGTGGATTAATGAAAATTATATAGTACCAAAAAGGTTGCAAGACAAAAAGAATGAATTGTAGAAAACTTTGAAGCAAATGAATTTTCGTTACGAAAAAACTCAAAACAGAAAATTACTAATACAGAAATAAAAATATTATTAATAATAATATTATTAATAATAATATTATTATTAATAGATATTATTATCTAGACGAAATAGTTTAATATAGAATTTTTCAAAAAAAAAACATTTTTTGCTTGATATTAGCGAAGAAGGGAGGCAAGTAAAATTATTTTTCTACTCCCATCTGTAAAATGCCTAACTACATACCGATCTAACGTGCGGGAAGCGTCACTTTACCACGTCAGTTTCGTTTCTCACGGATTCGAGACACTTCGGACATTTCCGGGATTTTACCGCACGGGTCAGGAAGCAATCTCATCTTTTCAGAGATATTGCCCACGCTTTGAATTTTGACGTTTGTCAATTCTGACGGTCATGTATTCGTGTTGTTTTGCAAAAATGGACCCAAAAACTAAAGGTCGTAGAAAAAGTATAGTATGCAACCAGTTCGGTAAACTTTTTAACTCACTCGTTTATTAAAAACTCGCTCCGCTCGTGTTAAATAAACTCGTGAGGCAAATGCCGTTTTTCTACTCTCGTCTGTAAAGTACCTAATTACCCACCGACCTAACTTGCGGGAAGCGTCACTTTACCACGTCAGTTTCGTTTCCCATGAATCCGAGCCACTTCGGACATTTCCGGGATTTTACCGCACGGAGTTGGAAGCAATCGGATGTTTTCGGAGATATTTCCCACACTTTGAATTTTGACGTTTGTCAATTCTGACAGTCATGTCAGTGAATGTATTCGTGTTTTTTTGCGAAAATGTACCCAAAAACTAACATCCGTAGAAAAAGTATAGTATGCAACACGTTCTGTAAACTTTTTAACTCACGAGTTTATTTGACACGAGCAGACGCGGCGCAACGTTTACCGCACTTGTTACCAATATTAAAATACCCATTTTTTCCATTTACAAAATACACACTAAGCGTACATGGAGAAAAATTGGGGGGTAATTACAAATTATAAAACCCAGCAGGAGAATTATACATACCAGGTTGGAATAAACTATGTGAAAAGTTACGAAATGTGTAGGTAAAAACGTTATTTTGTGAAATGAAAAATTTCATAATGAGAGTTCCAATATTTCCATACAAAGAATCATTCATTAATGTGTTGATTCGTCCTTTCGACCTACCCTGCATTAAAGTTTTGGCCAGAGGATTTCAAATATTAGTATTAGGTCTCATGATTTTCATAATAATTAAAATCAGTTTGCTATATGTAATGCAGTATTATATTATAATAGATTTTTGTATTTTGATAAATGAAAAACCGTTATGAGAAATATTTTTAACATTTGAACTTAATATACATGCTGACCCTGAAGAGATTTTAAGAAGAAAATTACATTACATTTTTTACTTTTACATTATCTGCCAAATTAGACTTCGTGACACCATAAACTTTGTAGGAGTATTCCAAACAAAGATAAAAATGAGAAAAATTAAATAGTTTTTTGGCTTTTTAGGCAGCGCAGACTTAAGATAAGAATTTTTTTAAAGCAAAGTTGAACTCTTTTTTTATTGAGAGCATCCCTTAATATCTATTTAAAAGAGTTTTAACTGAAATATAATTTGAGAAGCATTAAAAAATGGTTCATAAACTAATGTTTTAGACTCGGTTTTTATATTTTCTATCATGTCAGTCCTTAAAGCATTATGTTACAATGGAAGGCTCCCAAAAAATCGTAAAGTTATCTAACCAAAAAAATATCCATAATGACGTAGCTGTGAGTAAATTAAATGCAGGCTACATTAAGCTATACAATGGTGTGTGTGTTTTTTCAATGGTAGAGGTTGAAAACATCAAAAAATTACTTGTCCATATTTGCTTGTCTTATAATAACAGATTATCATTATCGAACCATAGTAGCCACTTGAAATAGTGACAACATAGGAGAAAAAGGACATTTAAGTTCTAGAACCCAAGAAAAATGTTTAATACAATGGAAATTTTTGAATAGTACCTATATTCCTAACAAGCACACCCTGTATATATTGTTTGGTCCAGTAGTTCTAAATTAATTAATAATAAATTCTGATTCAAGATTACTTACCCAGAATCTGTTAAAAACGAAATGTTCAATCTCGCGCATGAGCATGTTGAATGGACCGCCTTAAAAAAATTTCATGGTGGCTTCCTAATAGCGGGCTTCACTAATAGCAGTTTACGTTAAACTATCATTTCAAAGCAGTTCCGTTGCTGAACATTTTTTATGTGGTGTTGAGCTGTACATTGTACATTGTACTAGTTGTACAAGGATATTATAAAAGATTAGTCATATTTTTTGCCTTTTAAAAAATACTATCAGTCTATTAAAATTCCATGTGTTGCCAACGTTCATAAACCTGGACGTTAAAAAAATTTACCTCAGAAAATGGATACTGATACTAACGAAGCGTGTGCCAAAATATGATAAAAGAAAAAAATTTAGCGCTCAAAAGTTAAAATTAAAATCACTTTATATTCACACATTTAAAGATCAGCATCGCATTCTAAAAGAACTAGGTATATGTTTTGTGGCCAAGCAGAAATTATTTCAATTACATTTTTAACAGCTGATCAGGCAACACTGGTCGTTTCGCATTCGTCGTGAATAATTAATTGCACTTTAAACGTCGAAAATCCCAACGTGCCGTAATAGAAAGTGATCAAATATATTTTAACCAATTTTTAGTAAACGAGAAAGTAGTAGCAGTTTATCTACGGATGTTTAAGTTATAGAACTTTTATAACTTCAATAGTCATTCTGAGCATAATGGTTTGAGCGTTATATAAAATCTTGAAATGCCGTCCCGTCAAAAATAAAGGCTTTTTTAGTTGGTAGTTTTTTTTGCATAGCAAGTTCCTTGAAGATATATCGGCTAATATTAATTTGCAAATCTCAAATTCAAAATTATTTCATAGCTAAAACTAATCAAACCTAAAACCTGCATAGTTACGGAACCGTTTAAGACCTACCCAAAAGCCGAACTAAGCTTCTCAAACAATTTTACTTTGGTGAATAATGATGACCGAAATTGTGAATTTCTCGACGATTTTTGTAAGATCCATTTGATTGATAAATAAGGTTTACCGTTACGAGATAATTTTATTACCAAAAACGTTTTAATGAAAACAAAATGCAAATTTATGAAATACTACTTACGAATAATGACTATGTCAGCTGACGTTGCCGTCGAGGTTATATGTTACACGATCAGATTGTTTCCGAACCACACACAGACAACTGTTTTATTTAAGAGTAATTAAGGCACACATCCCGCGCACTGCGACTTGTTATGGTTTAATAAATTATAGTTATATTAGTAAAATAACTCTTAGGGGCGTATATTTAGGTACACGACACGTTCGTCGAGGTGATTGTAAAAATGTGGTCCCGTAGTACGAATGCCAGTGCTACCGAGTGCCACTTCAATCGTCTTTATCGTCGAAAGGTTAACTTGAACGAATGTGCGTATAGATAACGCCCGTAATTATAATTTTATATATTTTACGAGGACAAAATGATAAAATTATTCCCTGAAATATTAAATGACGAGGGAATCGTCGGGAATTGAATCAGTTTGTAAATGAAGTTCCTACTAAACTTCATTATAAAAATTACGCAAATTTCGCTAATTCGGCCATAATTATGGGTTGAACTGGGTTATCTCTTTTATTGCATGATTTGACGTTTTTTTACAATATGAGGTGCGTCGTGACATCTAGCGTGAGGTAGAAAAATTATTCATTTTCGTCATATAGCTGCTAGAGACGCCCTGTCTATGTCTATAATACAGAAACTTATGAAGCAACTATAAAAATTTTTTGAGAAGGTCCATGACCTTGCGGCATTCGACAACCAAGTTGGCCGCTGATAGATCGTCAATAAGTTGAATGCGATATTTTTACGGCAGTATTTTCTGAAAATATCCCTAGATCTCGTTAACTGTTCTGGAAAAACGAGTTAAGTATGTTATGGCATGTTAGTGGGTGAAATGTAGAGGTATGCGCGAAAAATAAATCCCTTCTCTATAAAAATATCAATGTCGCCTGCGGCGCATCTATTTTGCCCGTAGTAGGGCCACTCTTATAACATCTCTGCCGAATGTGCGGAACTTCAACTGGCATTGCAAATTATAGATTTCGCATACCACTGTTTTATCAAACAATCGCGAGAAAACGACCGTCTAAATCACAACTGAGGTTCCATGATTTGATTTGTATGTCCATACAGCTCCTCAAGATATAGAGGTCCTGCCTTATGCTGATAAAACAGGAACTTATAAAGCAACCATTTTGAGAAGGTCCATTCCAGCATGCGCATGATGAAGATTTAAAATCTCGTTTTTAACAATGGCAGTGACCTTGCGGCATTCAACAATCAACAACCATGTGGATTTCGCTGTTTGGAAAGATAATGACGGAAATTGTAAGTTAGTGGGTGAACTGCAGAGGCATGCGCAGAACACCGTTACATTCAATCACTTCAGAAGGGTACATTAATTAACCTTTTAATAAGTTTCCCACCTCAATTTTTTATGTTTGTGGAGATAATTTTTCTCCCGAAGATATTTATTTTTATTCCGGTTCATGTAGATTAGGAGTTTTTTTTAATGGATTGAATATTATGAATGTTATACCAATCTTCTCTCAGTTTTTTTCAGTATTCTACGTTGAATATATATTTTTGTTGGTCTAACCATTGCAACATTTTTATCTGATAGTTATTTTACTACTTGAATGTTATTTCTGTTTTAAGTCATTCCATTCGCTATGCCTTGTTTATTTTGCATCTTGCTATTTGTATTCCTTGGAATTTGCTAGTCTAAAGTCTATTAAAACTATTCTTATTTGATGTGGATCATCCTTTTCATGTTGTTTGATAAAAGAATCGTTAAAAAATGTTTCTAAATTTATTTACTTTCTTTAGCAACGTGGCAACGTGCAATTAATAGTATATTATGCAACAAGTGCGGTAAACTGCATTTGACTCACGAATTTATTTGACACGAACGGAGCGAGCTAGTGAATTAAAAAGTTTACCAAACGTGTTGCATACTATACTTTTTCTACGATCGTTTTGCGTACATTTTCGCAAAAGACGAATACATTCATTGACGTGACTGTCAGAATTGACAAACGTCAAAATTTAAAGCGTGGGAAATATCTCCGAAAACTTCCGATTGCTCCCAAACCCGTGCGGTAAAATGCCGGAAATGTCCGAAGTGGCTCGGATTCGTGGAAAACGGAGCTGACGTGATAAAGTGACGCTTTCCGCACGCTAGATCGGTGCGTAATTAGGTATTTTGCAGACGGGACTAGAAAAACATTATTTACTAATTTGAACCTTTTAAATATAACAAATTTAAACGGAGCTTCGCATGTTTAACTGATAGTACAGGAATTCTTGACATCTTGACCTCACATTTGAAAATGATTTTCCACGCCACGGCATGGTGGCGCTGTTTTTGTGTTTCCAAGTTTTTACACTGAGTTTACATTGAACAATCTTTTAAATTGTTTAGCTGCACTTTTTTAATGATTACTTCTACAAGTTCCATTTCACACAATATTATTTAACATATAACAATTTTCACAACGCCCAAGGCTCCTGGCCGGAATAAAAAGAGAACCACCACTAGCTAGAAAACCCATGGGGTTCGTTTTTTTCTGCCAAAATCTCCGATCAGTCGAGTTTTCAAGTGTAAGGCCTTAGCGACCGAGCCATCCTCGGTCATATTTATGTAAAGTTATATCTTTGGTTATCCCTCTTCTTTTCTTTTGGTTTCTATATATCGTTTTTCAATATGCTAATGTGGCGGAGGCAGATATTAATAAAAGAGGAAGCTGCTTTATCAGTATCTGGGCAGAATTATAAACTGGAGTTATATTCGCGAAGTACAGAATAAAATTTCGCCCTACTGACATCATTTTGATTACAGATTTATAAATTGCATCTACATTGTAAAGGTCAAAATATACTAAACAAAACAAAACCATAAAATCTAAATAATTAATCTAAGTTTATAACGTAAATTTAACTTAACAGAGAGCGTAATAAAAGAAAAACAAATTATATTTAATTTTAGGTATTATGGAGAGAAAATTATTAATGGAAAGTTAGATTATATATTCTGGAGAATAACTCTTTTAAGAATTGTTTGAATGACTGTCGATTCAATTTTCGGGTATTGTCAACATATCAGTCCGAAAATAATCTTCCTTATGTGTAAAAAAGAAAAGGGCCAACAAAAAATAATCCTCGATAGATTACGGCAATGGGCGAATGACCCTGGTAATTTTGCTCTATTACAAGAATAAGGAGAAGCATATGGTCATGTCAATTGTATTATTGCTCTCACGTTTTATGATTTATTTTAAGGGTAGTGCGGTGTTGAACAAAAACCAAGAACTCGTGTAAATTAAAGTTGTAAAGATGGCTCACTATAAGGGAGCGGCGAGTGAGGCCGGTCGAGCAATGCAGCTCATGAAAAAACGCGAAAAGGAAATGCAAGACTTGGAAATCCGCAAGAAGAAAATTGAAGAAGATCTTAAAATTAATAATATAGAAACTAAATTTGCTACACACTACGATGCCGTTGAACATCAACTCAAAGTTTGTGTTTTATTTGTTTTAAAATCATCTTAATTACTAAGAACATTTTAGAGCTCCACAATTGGCTTGGTAACTTTAGATGAAATGAAAGCCAAGCAAGAGAATATAGTCAAAGAGCGAGAGAAAAAATTGGCTCAGAAACAGGCTGAAAAAGAGAGAGAGAAACAGCGTCAACTAGAAGCCAAGCAGGCTGAGAAAAATAAGCAAAAGAAACAAGTTTGTACTTTATTAATAAAAAAAAAGCTATTTTGGCTGACAGAAGGTTAGTCTTAATTGCAGATTCAAGCATTATCTTTTAATGTCGAAGATGATGAGGGTAGTGATATGGAGGAATTGTGCTTTTGGAAGAGAGTAAATGAAGATGATGAAGTAAAATTATTGAAAAAGATTAAAAAAGATCCTACAGCAGATACAAGTTTTCTGCCAGATAGGGAACGGGAAGAAGAAGAAAATAGATTAAGGTTTAAAAAAGTATACTAAATATAACTAATAGCAAAAGGAAGATAATTGTTGGCAATTGTGCCGATTTTATAGATTTTTAACTATAGGCATTTTTTAGGGAGGAGTTGAGACAAAAGTGGTCAGAACAACAACAAAAATTGAAAGAAGAAGAAATTGAGATTACTTTCAGTTATTGGGATGGATCTGGTCACAGAAGAACAGTCAGAGTTAAGAAAGGTATTATCTAAAGTAATATGTACTTGTTTTACCAAAAATATTTTGCCACAAGGGAGACCAACCGGTTCTCAAGCAAAGACAGACCAAAGGTCTGTGTTAGGACATGGTACTAAATTTTTAGTTCCATATTTTGATACTTATGATGCTACATTTCTTTTCTTTCCAATGAACAAAATGAAACAATACAATATGGATATGGAGAAAAACAAAAACATGGCAATATGAAGAAAGCAGCCACATATTTCCTTAAATCAGCTTTGTCATTGTTGTGTTTTGAGTGTAAAGGAATTCTCAAAATAATCCTAGAAACCCTTTGAGCATTCCATGCTTAACCATAAAAGGAAGGTGTATTTCTCATTGGTGAAATGTGGTTCATTATCGGGTCACCCCTATGAATTAATTATAGACTTTCTTCTATTTGTGATTAATGTTTTATTTAATAGGTAATTCAATCTACCATTTCCTACAAAAAGTACTGGAATTGTTGCGGCGAGAGTTTTCTGAACTGAAAACTGTTATGGCAGATCAACTTATGTATGTTAAAGAGGACTTGATTTTGCCTCACCATTACACTTTCTATGATTTTATGGTGACAAAAGTATGTCTTTGTATTGTTTATTATAGGTAACTATCATTGTTTTTAATATTCAGGCTAGAGGCAAAAGTGGACCCTTGTTTCAATTTGATGTACATGATGATGTTCGGCTTGTAAGTGATGCGTCCATTGAGAAAGAAGAGTCCCATGCTGGAAAAGTATTGCTACGAAGTTGGTATGAGCGGAACAAACACATATTCCCAGCTAGCCGATGGGAACCCTATGATCCTACTAAAACTTATGACAAATACACAGTGTCTGATAAAACTAAGAAAAATAAATAACTTTCTTATTTACATTTGATGTCTTTTTTACAAAAACGATATCTGCATATAGTTCAGAAGGGGACAGGAAAAGGGGTTTTACAAATTTTAACTTTAAATGCAATGTTATTTAAAATACATGTGTTAAAAATTAAATAATTTTATTCATTACAATTTCATTTTTTTCTGCTATTTCTTTCAAAATAGTAGAATGCTGTGGGAATATGGGCTCTACCGGCTGCTTCCAAAAATACTTAACATATGGTATCCTATGGGTTACATCTGTGCTCCAGTGATGCAATCTGCATTTAACATTTACCTTCTCTGAATTATTCAAAGTCACTGTGACATAAAACTCTTTGCCTTCGTTATCCATATTTGGCCCTGTGATGAGTTCAGGG